ATAAATGTATCTTACCAGAGATACCACCCTAAGTGCTTCACACCAGGCAGAAAGTCTGAAATCTTCTTTTACCTGACATTTATCTAATTTCACAGCAAAACAAGGTGACTTACAGAAAACTAAGAACCATCACTCTGTTTGTAGTGAACTATAATGACTGATTTTATTATGCAGCAATCAAGTCCTCCCAAGAGGTTCTAACATATAAAATTTGTACACTGAGAGATTAACCGACAGATTGAGTGACTGACGGAGGGAGTGCAAACCTATAGTCCTGTCTTGAAGTACCTGTTTATGACACGATTTACTCTGATCATAGACAGGTTTTCAACATTGTTATCTTAATATCCCATCAGTTGTCTTCATGCTGGTATCACAGTGAGTTACGTTAAATGTATTAAAAATTAAAACATGACATGATTATAAGAACAACACAGAAAAGTCACAAGATCTCTACTGATTTCTACTGTGATCACCAATCTATCTTCCTACACTTAGCTACAAAATATACCAACAAGGGAATGAAATAAAACTCTCATAATGGGTAACATACCAACAGGGGAATGAGAGAGCAATCACAATGTGGGTAACATACAAACAGAGGAATGAGATAGCAATCACAATGTGGGTAACATACAAACAGTGGAATGAGATAGCAATCACAATGTGGGTAACATACCAACAGAGGAATGAGATAGCAATCACAATGTGGGTAACATACTAACAGAGGAATGAGATAGCAATCACAATGTGGGTAACATACCAACAGAGGAATGAGATAGCAATCACAATATGGGTAACATACCAACAGAGGAATGAGATAGCAATCACAATGTGGGTAACATACCAACAGAGGAATGAGATAGCAATCACAATGTGGGTAACATACCAACAGAGGAATGAGATAGCAATCACAATGTGGGTAACATACCAACAGAGGAATGAGATAGCAATCACAATGTGGGTAACATACCAACAGAGGAATGAGATAGCAATCACAATGTGGGTAACATACCAACAGAGGAATGAGATAGCAATCACAATGTGGGTAACATACCAACAGAGGAATGAGATAGCAATCACAATGTGGGTAACATACCAACAGAGGAATGAGATAGCAATCACAATGTGGGTAACATACCAACAGAGGAATGAGATAGCAATCACAATGTGGGTAACATACCAACAGAGGAATGAGATAGCAATCACAATGTGGGTAACATACCAACAGAGGAATGAGATAGCAATCACAATGTGGGTAACATACCAACAGAGGAATGAGATAGCAATCACAATGTGGGTAACATACCAACAGAGGAATGAGATAGCAATCACAATGTGGGTAACATACCAACAGAGGAATGAGATAGCAATCACAATGTGGGTAACATACCAACAGAGGAATGAGATAGCAATCACAATGTGGGTAACATACCAACAGAGGAATGAGATAGCAATCACAATGTGGGTAACATACCAACAGAGGAATGAGATAGCAATCACAATGTGGGTAACATACCAACAGAGGAATGAGATAGCAATCACAATGTGGGTAACATACCAACAGAGGAATGAGATAGCAATCACAATGTGGGTAACATACCAACAGAGGAATGAGATAGCAATCACAATGTGGGTAACATACCAACAGAGGAATGAGATAGCAATCACAATGTGGGTAACATACCAACAGAGGAATGAGATAGCAATCACAATGTGGGTAACATACCAACAGAGGAATGAGATAGCAATCACAATGTGGGTAACATACCAACAGAGGAATGAGATAGCAATCACAATGTGGGTAACATACCAACAGAGGAATGAGATAGCAATCACAATGTGGGTAACATACCAACAGAGGAATGAGATAGCAATCACAATGTGGGTAACATACCAACAGAGGAATGAGATAGCAATCACAATGTGGGTAACATACCAACAGAGGAATGAGATAGCAATCACAATGTGGGTAACATACCAACAGAGGAATGAGATAGCAATCACAATGTGGGTAACATACCAACAGAGGAATGAGATAGCAATCACAATGTGGGTAACATACCAACAGAGGAATGAGATAGCAATCACAATGTGGGTAACATACCAACAGAGGAATGAGATAGCAATCACAATGTGGGTAACATACCAACAGAGGAATGAGATAGCAATCACAATGTGGGTAACATACCAACAGAGGAATGAGATAGCAATCACAATGTGGGTAACATACCAACAGAGGAATGAGATAGCAATCACAATGTGGGTAACATACCAACAGAGGAATGAGATAGCAATCACAATGTGGGTAACATACCAACAGAGGAATGAGATAGCAATCACAATGTGGGTAACATACCAACAGAGGAATGAGATAGCAATCACAATGTGGGTAACATACCAACAGAGGAATGAGATAGCAATCACAATGTGGGTAACATACCAACAGAGGAATGAGATAGCAATCACAATGTGGGTAACATACCAACAGAGGAATGAGATAGCAATCACAATGTGGGTAACATACCAACAGAGGAATGAGATAGCAATCACAATGTGGGTAACATACCAACAGAGGAATGAGATAGCAATCACAATGTGGGTAACATACCAACAGAGGAATGAGATAGCAATCACAATGTGGGTAACATACCAACAGAGGAATGAGATAGCAATCACAATGTGGGTAACATACCAACAGAGGAATGAGATAGCAATCACAATGTGGGTAACATACCAACAGAGGAATGAGATAGCAATCACAATGTGGGTAACATACCAACAGAGGAATGAGATAGCAATCACAATGTGGGTAACATACCAACAGAGGAATGAGATAGCAATCACAATGTGGGTAACATACCAACAGAGGAATGAGATAGCAATCACAATGTGGGTAACATATCAACAGAGGAATGAGATGCAATCACAATATGGGTAACATACCAACAGAGGAATGAGATAGCAATCACAATATGGGTAACATATCAACAGGGGAATGAGATGCAATCACAATGTGGGTAACATACCAACAGGGGAATGAGATAGCAATCACAATGTGGGTAACATACCAACAGAGGAATGAGATGCAATCACAATATGGGTAACATATCAACAGGGGAATGAGATGCAATCACAATATGGGTAACATACCAACAGGGGAATGAGATAGCAATCACAATGTGGGTAACATACCAACAGAGGAATGAGATAGCAATCACAATATGGGTAACATACCAACAGAAGCTGTCAGTGCCTTTCACTGTGGCTCCCAAGTAAGGTAATATGGTATGGAAGCATTTCCCAGCCATGTCGACGTTACACTGCCCAGGGTCCTCCTGACCATTCACAATTGGTATGTCCCTAACACAGACATGGGACACCGCAAAATCAAAGAATTCCAACAATGTCCTGAGGGATGAGTAGGAAGCACAGCTGCTGACAGCTGTAAGTACTGAGGACTTTATCACTGCTGCATTCCTGGCAGAAATGAAATAACAACATTTAGTAATCATTATATCTTTTTGTGCTTATCTATACAAAGAGAAATAATAAAATAGGTGACAATCAGATCAATGTATTTATTTTTTTAACAGTTTTTTTCATGCCAGTAAATCAGATCAGTTTCAAAGAAATTGTATAGAAACTGAAGGGACTAACTCCTTGTAAAAAGCAAATCTGTAATGGTCGAAGGATACAAAGGGCAATAACTCTATAAATGGCATAAGTATGCTTGTAAGACCACAATAGATGGTGGTAAAGCCTACTACAATTCAACGAAATCAGAACGAAACTAAGGGACCAATTGTGTAACAACAAGGGCAGAAACTCTTTAAATGGAAATTTGATAAGGAAGCGTGATTAAAAGGGCAATAACTCCTTAAATATTTATCTGTGTAACAACAAGGGCAGAAACTCTTTAAATGGAAATTTGATAAGGAAGCGTGATTAAAGGGGCAATAACTCCTTAAATATTTATCTGATAAACTTGACTAAAAACAAGGGAAATAACTCCTTAAATATTTATCTGATAAGCATGACTAAAAACAAGGACAATAACTCCTTAAATATTTATCTGATAAGCATGACTAAAAACAAGGACAATAACTCCTTAAATATTTATCTGATAAGCATGACTAAAAACAAGGACAATAACTCCTTAAATATTTATCTGATAAACATGACTAAAAACAAGGGAAATAACTCCTTAAATATTTATCTGATAAACGTGACTAAAAACAAGAAACAAGGGTGATTACTTTTTAAATGTTTATCAGACTAACATATCTACTAACAAGATCAATAATTCTGTCAACAGATATGGGCAATAACTCTTGAATCATTTATCCGATTAACACGTCCGATACACATACTCTGTCTGATTGTGGTAAACTCTTTCACATGAGATCATTATGGTTACCTACCGACAGGTGTCGTAAACAGAGGACTGGGTGAATAAACGACTCGTATAAAGTTGTATGGTGTGGTGAGCCAGATATAAGTAGGTAAGGTCAAGGTCACAGTCCGAGAGCTCCATTGATCCAATCATACTTGTGTCATTGGAACCTGAAGATTAAAGAAAATTAAACATCCTAAGAGGACAACAGAAATATGGCTATGAGACCAAAACATAACTAAATGAATATCATGACCCTGAACCAAATGGTTGTAAGTTGTTTTAGGGAAAAAACTTGACAAATGAATGTCAGATGACAACCTTTATTTATTACATTTTAACAATGAAATATCAGTTCTTGTCAGTGTGATGGAAACTTAGTCACCAAATAATGATAACCATTTAGCCCTCTTCTAGTAGGAGGCAAACGATTCATAAGAGTACGATTTAAGAGACATATGTACACTTAACTGGTAACTGCCGTGTTACCTGGGTAATCTTGCCCTTCGTAGTGGAATTATATTGTGTCATTTGCTGTGTATCATCATTTGTTTCATGATCAATTTGAGTGTGGCGAAATAAGGGAGAAATTTAAATTACAATGAACTTTCCTGGTGTCATTGTTTTATCGCCACTCACCAGGATTAACTGGCACACAGTTGTATGCAATTCTTGCATATTTGTAGGTGTTCACACATGGATCTCCTGTCACAGAGTTTCTAGCGGTCACAGTACAGCTGGTTTTGTTATCACACATTTCTTTATATTTTTCGAGGGCTACCGGAGAGGAACAAGCTGTGTCTGTCAAGGGTAGGTTGGTGTCCGAACATGTGAGTCGCTCTTCTCTACCATAAAATGCATCCTGGATATCCACAACTTGTCCCCCAGGGCATTCCATAGTGTCAGTGTCACCCTCACAGATGACAAGTTCAGAACCTGGATAATACCAATCAATATATTACCACATGCATGAAAGATATACCACATTGTGGCTCATTGCTTAGGGCATTGGGAAGCACCTTCCATTGACTCAATGTTAAGTCAGTGTGACAGCGTGAAATGAACAATTTGTCTTGACCAATCAGATTACAGGATTTTCACTAGAGGTTTAACAATATGGTCGGTAACACCAAATAAAAGCAAGTTTGAATTTTGTCTTTACTTTTGTGAAATGAATTTAGTTTGATTTTCCATCTTTTTTTAAGGGAGGTGTTTGCTGTAAGGTATAAGCTGTCAGGAGTAACTATAAATACATTTAACTATTACGACTGTCTTATAGATGAATAAATATAGTGATCTTGATTTTCATTACGTCTTATTTAAGGTGTTGAGTAAAACAATCCTTCAAACACAATAATATCAACTCTACCTGTCTGACTACTGCAGCTATAGGTGGCATCGTAGCCTTTGCTTAGGAGGGTTACAAAGCTTCGACCTACAGCCTTTTGGAAGGGAGATAACTGTAGACCTTCAACACATGACATTGCAGTGAGGTAGGCATCACATACATCTGTGTGGGCACCGTGGTAACCTTTGGTTACAGCGACAGAGAAATCATAGATGCAGAGTTCAAGGTCTCTGTCAAAGGTCACAGGTTCACTGAAAAACACATCGCATATTAATAAAATCAGTTTAAACTATTGAGTGACACTTTAGAATTTAAATGTACAAATCAAAGTTACTTATATAGTCTTACCACCAGCTTATTTCAATGGCTTCTTTTCCAAAATCTTGCCAATTTCTCTAAACATCTCCCTTAATATAGTGTCCATTATATTAACCTGTAGAAATGTTGACATTATAACAAGGTTTTACTATATTTACTATATATAGTATGTCAGCCACACACCTATAAATATTTCAAGGTTGCAAATTTCAAAGATTTGAAATAATTTGTTGTTACAAACCTTATGAATTGCAATGATTCAGATACGTCCGACACAGAGCAGGAGCTCTTTGTCACGTTCACATACATATTGATCAATCCAGAGATTGTTGCCTTCTGCAGGGAGGAACAGGCAGCCATCTTGTTCAGTACACATGTGTTTGTCTGCCATATTGTGCTGCAATGACAGGGAACATAATTGTGTAGTTACAACAAGTGTTCAGGTGCATAATATATTTCTTATTTATACACAGCAAATATTGGTAATTAATTTTCTTAATTTACATACAAAACATTAGGTTCTAATTCACTTGCAATGAAATGTTAATACTGACAGGTCCTTTCATCAGACTAACCCGTTAATACTGACAGGTCCATACATCAGACTTACCTGTTAATACTGACAGGTCTATTCGTCAGACTTACCCGTTAATACTGAGAGATCCATTCGTCAGACTCACCTGTTAATACTGATAGGTACATTCATCAGACTTACCTGTTAATACTGAGAGATCCATTCGTCAGACTTACCTGTTAATACTGATAGGTCCTTTTATCAGACTTACCTGTTAATACTGACAGGACCATACATCAGACTTACCTGTTAATACTGACAGTTCCATACATCAGACTTACCTGTTAATACTGAGAGATCCATTCGTCATACTTACCTGTTAATACTGACAGGTCCATACATCCGACTTACCTGTTAATACTGACAGGTCCATACGTCAGACTTACCTGTTAATACTGACAGGTCCATACATCAGGCTAACTTGTTAATACTGACAGGTCCATTCGTCAGACTTACTTGTTAATACTGACAGGTCCATTCGTCAGACTTACTTGTTAATACTGACAGGTCCATTCGTCAGACTAACCTGTTAATACTGACAGGTCCATTCGTCAGACTTACTTGTTAATACTGACAGGTCCATTCGTCAGACTTACTTGTTAATACTGACAGGTCCATTCGTCAGACTTACCTGTTAATACTGATAGGTCCTTTTATCAGACTTACCTGTTAATACTGACAGGTCCATACATCAGTATTAACAGGTAAGTCTGATGTATGTGACGAATGGACCTGTCAGTATTAACAGTTAAGTCTGATGTATGGACCGGTCAGTATTAACAGGTAAGTCTTATGAATGGACCTGTCAGTATTAACAAGATAGCCTGATGTATGAACCTGTCAGTGTTAACAGGTAAGTCTGATGTCAGTATTAACAGGTTAGTCTGCCGAATGGACCTGTCAGAATTAACAGGTAAGTCTGACGAATTGACCTGTCAGTATTAACAAGTTAGTCTGCCGAATGGACCTGTCAGTATTAACGGGTAAGTCTGACGAATGGACATTGGCGATGTTTGTTCAGCAGAGGATGCCCAGCCGAGGTGTCGAGTTGATGCCGTATTCTCTTGCTTCAGCATCGCAGCAGACAACTTTACCATGGACGAAATATCACTGATGAATAAACCTCTGTGTATTAACAGGTAAGTCTGTCGAATGGATCTCTCAGTATTAACAGGTAAGGCTGATGTATGGCCCTGTCAGTATTAACAGGTCCATACATCAGACGTACCTGGTAATACTGACAGGTCCATTCATAAGACTTACCTGTTAATACTGTCAGGTCCATACATCAGACTTGCCTGTTAATACTGAGAGATCCATTCGTCAGGCTTACCTGTTAATACGGACAGGTCCATACATTAGACTTTCCTGTTAATACTGACAGGTACATACAACAGACTTACCTGTTAATACGGACAGGTCCATACATTAGACTTTCCTGTTAATACTGACAGGTACATACAACAGACTTACCTGTTAATACCAACAGGTCCATACATCAGACTCACCTCTTAATACTGAGAGATCCATTCGACAGACTTACCTGTTAATACCAACAGGTCCATACATCAGACGTACCTGGTAATACTGACAGGTCCATACCTCAGACTTACCTGTTAATAAGGACAGGTCCATACATCAGAATTACCTGTTAATACTGACAGGGCCATACATCAGACTTACCTGTTAATACGGACAGGTCCATTCGTCAGAATAACCTGTTAATACTGACAGGCCCATACATCAGACTTTCCTGTTAATACTGACAGGTACATACATCAGGCTAACTTGTTAATACGTTAATACTGACAGGTCCATGCATCAGACTCACCTGTTAATACTGAGAGATCCATTCATCAGACTTACCTGTTAATACGGACAGGTCCATACATTAGACTTTCCTGTTAATACTGACAGGGCCATTCGTCAGACTAACCTGTTAAGACTGACAGGTCCATACATCCGACTCACCTGTTAATACTGAGAGATCCATTCGTCAGACTTCCCTGTTAATACTGACAGGTACATACAACAGACTTACCTGTTAATACTTACAGGTCCATGCATCAGGCTAACTTGTTAATACTTACAGGTCCATGCATCAGGCTAACTTGTTAATACTTACAGGTCCATGCATCAGGCTAACTTGTTAATACTTACAGGTCCATTCGTCAGACTAACTTGTTGATAGTGACAGGTCCATACATCAGACTCACCTCTTAATACTGAGAGATCCATTCGTCAGGCTTACCTGTTAATACGGACAGGTCCATACATTAGACTTTCCTGTTAATACTGACAGGTACATACATCAGGCTAACTTGTGAATACTGACAGGTCCATACACCAGACTTACCTGTTAATACTGTCAGGTCCATACATCAGACTCACCTGTTAATACTGAGCTTACCTGTTAATACTGACTGGTCCATACATCAGACTTACCTGTTAATACACAGAGGTTTATTCATCAGTGATATTCCGTCCATGGTAAAGTTGTCTGCTGCGATGCTGAAGCAAGAGAATACGGCATCAACTCGACACCTCGGCTGGGCATCCTCTGCTGAACAAACATCGCCAATGAAGTTGTTTTTTACCTCATCCATGGATTTCAACACTGGGGCAAGTTCAGTACTGAAACACTGTTCAGAATTCTTGATCTCATCCAGCAAGGTCTGTGTAGTGTTCAACAGGCTGAAACCAAAACAACACATGCAATACATTGCAAATCTTTTGATGCTCAGTTAGTAAAAGACTTTTGAGGTCAGACTTTCGGTCAGACTTTTCTCAAAGTTTCTGTTAGGAAAATGTTTCAATCACAGAAGTATGCTAGAAAATATTACCCTTAAGTCAACTAAATACTAGGTAGCAAGCCGTGGAAGACATCACTAATACCCTGCGGTTTAGAAGAGTATTTGTTACAAAGCATCGGAAATGATGACCCAAAACACACTGATATTTTACCTGCATTTGGTTCTGTCAGACGCAAAAGGACTGGAAGAGATCCTGCCAAGGGAGAGCACTCCTACAGTACCACAGTGTCGATAAAAAGAGGACTCAGCAGCACACCCACTGACTGTCAGCATCTCACGTATAAGTTTGGCGACTCGGTAGATGATGGTGAGTTTGTCTGACGTACAGTCACGAGAGTAAGTTTCCATACAGGTCAAACTGGCACTCAGAACCCTAACACAAAGATACATGTATACAAAATGTACATCAGTATAGAATAAAGAAAAGGCTTAATGGCCCTGCACATGCATGCACATCTTATTGAATACTGTTCAAAGCTCATTTTACGATTTTGACCAAGAAAATGGGTCAAGGTCATTTATTCATTATTTATTCAAGCAAATAGTTTATTCCTATATTGTTAAAAAAAGTTTTGCAATTCTATGCAGTAAGGATATTAAGAAGAAACCCCTAGAAGATGTTATGTGTATATTTGACCTGAATGACCTTGAAAGTAATACATTTCAATAAACTCTATTCAGCCAGCTTGCTACTACTTGTAACCAAATATCATGACCCTTTAATTTCTTTATTATTGATAAGAAGTTTCAACATTTTTGGCCCAATCTATGGGCCAAGGTCATTTGTTTGCAGAAAATACGTTTAAGGTCTTTTATTAAAAGTTTTTAAAAACTAATTAACACATTTACCCTCTGTGTCATTGCACATATGCCAAGGCAATCTCTGTTTGCAAACATTTTAGAACTACATGCTAGCAAGCTACTGGTAAAACACCATTACTTCAGGCATTTGTATCTGACAGATTATAGTGCTGTATACAAATTTTTACTATACCTTACCTCTCAGTGATCGTGTCTGTCTTGGTAACTATGGAAACAACATCCATTGCACATGTCACTGCCCTACTTACGTCACACATGGGTGGATCTAAAAAATAAATTAACTGTTCAAGTGTCTGATAAAGCCTTCACGGAGAGAACTTTATTGTTTTACTGTACTAAAATGGGGAACAGAAAATGTTTGTTAACTCCAGAAGTATGACTTTCAATGTGTGCTGGTTTGTTACTTGTATGGAGTGTTACCTTCAATGTGAGCTGGTTTGTTACTTGTATGGAGTGTTACCTTCAATGTGTGCTGGTTTGTTACTTGTATGGAGTGTTACCTTCAATGTGAGCTGGTTTGTTACTTGTATGGAGTGTTACCTTCAATGTGTGCTGGTTTGTTACTTGTATGGAGTGTTACCTTCAATGTGAGCTGGTTTGTTACTTGTATAGAGTGTTACCTTCAATGTGAGCTGGTTTGTTACTTGTATGGAGTGTTACCTTCAATGTGTGCTGGTTTGTTACTTGTATAGAGTGTTACCTTCAATGTGAGCTGGTTTGTTACTTGTATGGAGTGTTACCTTCAATGTGTGCTGGTTTGTTACTTGTATAGAGTGTTACCTTCAATGTGAGCTGGTTTGTTACTTGTATGGAGTGTTACCTTCAATGTGTGCTGGTTTGTTACTTGTATAGAGTGTTACCTTCAATGTGAGCTGGTTTGTTACTTGTATAGAGTGTTACCTTCAATGTGAGCTGGTTTGTTACTTGTATGGAGTGTTACCTTCAATGTGTGCTGGTTTGTTACTTGTATAGAGTGTTACCTTCAATGTGAGCTGGTTTGTTACTTGTATAGAGTGTTACCTTCAATGTGTGCTGGTTTGTTACTTGTATAGAGTGTTACCTTCAATGTGTGCTGGTTTGTTACTTGTATGGAGTGTTACCTTCAATGTGTGCTGGTTTGTTACTTGTATGGAGGTGTTACCTTCATTGTGTGCTGGTTTGTAACTTGTATGGAGTGTTACCTTCAATGTGAGCTAGTTTGTTACTTGTATGGAGTGTTACCTTCAATGTGTGGTGGTTTGTTACTTGTATGGAGGTGTTACCTTCAATGCGAGGTGGTTGTTACTTGTATGGAGTGTTACCTTGAATGTATGATGGTTGTTACCTGTATGGAGTGTTACCTTCAATGTATGATGGTTTGTTACTTGTATGGATTGTTACTTTCAATGTGAGCTGGTTTGTTACTTGTATGGAGTGTTACCTTCAATGTGTGCTGGTTTGTTACTTGTATGGGGTGTTACCTTCAATGTGAGCTGGTTTGTTACTTGTATGGAGGTGTTACATTCAATGTGAGCTGGTTTGTTACTTGTATGGAGTGTTACATTCAATGTGTGCTGGTTTGTTACTTGTATGGAGTGTTAACTTCAATGTGTGGTGGTTTGTTACTTGTATGGAGTGTTACCTTCAATGTGTGGTGGTTGTTACTTGTATGGAATGTTACCTTCAATGTGTGCTGGTTTGTTACACAGATAGCCAGTACAACAGTAGCCACAGTCTTTGTTAGAGGCACACGAATGAGCACATTGGACTGAAGACTGACATCCCTTGTCCAGTTTCTTGTTCACAGTTTTGGCGTAACACACCTAGGAAACACAGATATTAGGTGTTTATTTAGTTATTTACACTTAATATGTCATGTTGACAATTTGTTCAACGTTATCAGATAATACAAGAAGGTGTTATATAAGTAAATTTTGGTCCTTAGCCAAGAGCGTATGAAAATTATCAATACTTATTTATCATGTGCAATTTAAAGATTTAGAACAAGGAGTCTACTAGCATTGGCAGGAAAGTTGATGTTACCTCCCCTGTTTCACACTTTACAGGATGCTGTTTGTTGCACAGGTCATTATCGTCTAGTTCTGTACAGCTATGACATGCTTGGGCTAAAAAACCGGAAATAAAGCAGTGTGGTAACTATTACTTGGTGCTTTTCTGTGCAGCCAGGCAAATAAAAATACGGTACAAAAACAACTTGTACCATAATGTTTCAAGTAAAAAGACTTGGGTAACAAAGGCTAACAATTATAAATGATTGAGTCCTGTAATTTAACCACACACAACTACAAAAAGGACTGATGTAAACTTTAAAAGACAGGATCTTCAAAAACCAAAGTTTGACTCAGAACATGTCTATAAGCTACATGTACTTACGTTTACAACTGTAATCAATTGTCTGGTACACCGCATACAATGTATGGTTGAGTAGGACACGTTCATGATAGGCAAGGCGGGGAAGGTTGGTCTGTATGCATGTCCAGGACGCAGAAACCTTTCCACATGCACTTGTTAGCTCAGTTGTTTTGCCAGCTGATCCCGAGCTTGGTTTACTAGCTGATCCAGGGCTTGTTCCTCCAGTGGATCTTGAGGCTGGTTTACTAGCTTTTCCTGAGGCTGGTTTACTAGCAGATCCTGAGGCTGGTTTACTAGCAGATCCTGAGTTTTGTCCACTAACTGTAGCTGATTCTGCTTTACTTCCCGTGTTTTCAGTTGATTCCTTTTCCCCTGATCTTGAGCTAAGCTCTAGTACTTTGAAGATTTTGACATCAAAGCTTCTGATGCAGCCGTAGATATCTGTGACCTCTGGGTCGACCCCATCACTGGTTCCATCACCTTCACCTCCGCCATCTCCTTCATCGCAAATTGTTCCTATGATCTGAAGTGCAGCGTAGTACTTCTGTGTGACTTGGTAAACTGCTGTTTTGGAACATTCTGCAGTATTTTCATCTATACATCTTTTCACCTCCATACGCATGCTGTAACATTATGAAGTCATCATTGTTTACCATATATACTGTACCAGATAAGATCCAGATCTACTTATTTAATAATTTCTCTTGTAAAACACAATTGACCTTAGTAACCCTCAATGTATGTAACCAACCTATTAAATATCTTTACCGCTTCAAATGTCAGAGTGAATATCCTGAACCTTGGCCTCTTGCCTTTCAAGTCAAAAGTTGTTTAATATTTTTAACACACTTGACCCGCATGACATTAAATGCAAGTCAAACTCATTTTTTTAAAACTTTGATAGCTTTTTTTTTTTAGAATTTTTAGGCCAGTTATGCACAGGTTTTATAATTAAGAGCATGATATGAATAAAGTTCAAACCTGCACACAGTATCATCCACCTCAGAGCTCTCTCCACTTAATCTGACCTTCAGCCTGTCAACACAAGCCTCAGCGTTTTGTATCTTACAGTTGCTAGGTGGTGGTCGGCACGGTGACTTGATCTCCACATTACAGACATCTGTGGCTTTATATGCCTTTACAGTGTCTAGTCCTGACAGAACGTTCCTCTTTATGTAACTAGGGCAGCCATTGATGTTACTATATATACTCTGTAGGGAGTTGGCATACTCTCTGAAAACAGTTTATGAAAGAATAGGATGAAATATTTTATGACTTATGATTTTTAAGATATGAAACGTTTTTTTTAAAAGAATAATTTGATATGTAATGATAAATTATAGTTTATATATAACTGTGTAAGCCTTCCATTGCCTTGGCTGCTGTAGTTGTAGATGTGATAGTTTTGTTGTTATATATATATGTTTGCAATATTAAGTGTTATAGGATATAAGGCTTTTTCCCTTATGTTCATTTTTGTAATTCCTTCTTTTACCTGGTTATGGAATGTGTTCTTCTTCGAAGAGCGATAGTGTTTACCTATGCAAATTAGATGTCTTACCATATAAGGTATCGTAGTATATGTTAATCAGTCCATAGTAACTTTTGACCAATCAGCGATTACGTCTTAGAGGGGTGTTGGTATTGCCAGCTTCAGTTTCATTCCTCGTAGTGCTGGCAGATTACACTTGTTTGTTTTGGCTTACCCACCCACCAACCCCTGCATCGCCTCTAATTAATTTGCCTCATGATCATGAGTTTTTGTGTAATTGTTGGTTCTTTTTTCAGGTTCATGTATATGTATACAGTAACTTCATATTTGTCTATTTTGTTGATTTATTACATGCTGCCCCTTTGTGAGGCTTCTGTGAGGCTTCTTTTTGCCGCTTCATGTTGTATGTTATATGTAAGGTTTATGTTAGGTGGGTTACTCACTCTATTGATCGAGACTTTATGAACAACTATGTGTAAATTTAGGCTTGGCTTTAAATTCTTGGGGAATTTTACCCCCAATCTCTTAAATAGATTATTACTTCACTTTATCTGTAGCCAGTTTTCTCGTGTTAAATCTAATAGATATATTCTCTGGGGTGGCTATGAGTCTAGTCACTTCTCTGGATTCCTCCAGAGTCTAGTGACTTCTCTTGCCTTCTTCGGAGTCTAGCGTTTCCAATTCATAGTCTTTTATAGCTTCTCCATGGATATTAGGAGTCTAGTCACTTCGCTGGAGTCTTTCAGAGTCTAGCTGCTTCTCTTGTTTTCTTTGGAGTCTAGCTTGCGTTCTTTATCAAGTTTCTCTATGACTTCGCAGAGCCTATAGCTTCCTTTAATATCTTTTGAAAAGAATTTGTTACTGTTAGTAGGTTTGTTATAGAGTGAGTAGCCCCTGATACGCCAAATGTTTGCAGTAGGTTTTAGTACTTGTTCTTTGCTTGCACATACATATCTGTGTCTTAACTCAAGTAATAAACAGGTTAACTCTTCCATTGTGTGAAGTTATGTATAAAGGTGTAATTGTACCTAAATTTGTTCTCAATTTTACTCCCGTATACTTACACACACAACCTCTGTTGAGAGCCATATGGATTGAAGATTTCGTCAAACAAGTCAGCTAAACTCTTGAGGGCTCGTACATGATTACAATGAGAACCAGTCACCTCTGGATCTACACAGGTAGGGGGAGCGGAATAGGCAATGTCCTTTTGCTTCCTGTGGTGGCCATCACACATTTGTAAGGCGTAATGAGTGACCTTGTTCAGGGTCATAGACATCACACTATTGACAGGCTCAGTACAGTTGTAGAGGTGGCGCTGTGCACAGTCAGCGGAATATTTGGCGAGTCTGAATAATACAACAGTTATATATATGTCAATGGAGATTGTACAGTCAGCGGAATATTTGGATTTAATTGATTTTGTTGCCATATTAATTGGTCTGTTGTTTTAAATGCTTAAATTATTGAAACCTGCATCACACTTCACATATCATTAGATTTAAATGTCCAGTTTCAATGATATCACTGTCTGAAGATTTTTTTCTTAACTTAAATAAGAAAAAATATCCTATAGTGGCGATCCCTAGAGACTGTTCTATTTAGTGGCTTACCATCCAGTGTGAGCATCATTTGTAGAGGAATACTTTATTTAAGTTCAAACATATTGTAACATACTTGACTGCCTGAGTAGTGCACTCAATGTGATTTAAGTGTTAATTAAGTGTCAAACTACAAACTACTAACCTGCAGATATCACCTCTGTCCTTACTGGTTTGGTAGTAAGACAGGTCCATACCAAGCTTGGCTATACACTCCCAAGCCTGAAGGGGTGAACAAGACATCCCGTCTCCCTCCTCCTCCTCCTCCTCCTCCTCTCCCATCTCCTTACATACATTAGTGCCTCGTGAGATGATTGAGCTGCCTAAAGCCTGTACGTGACCGTACTGTTGCTGTAGGCGCGGGGAACATCTCACCATACCCTCACTGATACATGTATTCAGTGACAAAGAACTCCTAAAAAACACATTATATTACTATTGTTTATAGTTAACTAAGGGGGTTTCTCGACTAGAGCTGCAACGATACCCATACTTCACGATAAGATACATCTTGTGGTATGATGCTTACAATACGATACGTATCATGATATAATTATCTGCTTGAAAGGTCAACTTCATACAGATTCCTTTGACAAGCTGCGCATATTGACATCTTTGATTATTTTCTGTGAAAAAAATTGTTGATGTGTAAAATTTATACTGTTGCTATGACAATGATATTAGTGAAAGAGAAACCTTAAATTTCCTTCAAGGTTGTTGATTTCGCAACACACATAGGTTTTACTTTTTAGTAAAAAATCAAGGTACATACATTCAAGGAAACTTACTATTTATGTATTCATATAATCAATACAGTTAATCTGTCATCAAATTTTGTCAATAAAATACACCAATCATTATGGAACGTTGAATATGATCAATTCTATTGATTATATTATGCCATAATGTTGTAACCAAGACGTTAAAATTAATCGCCGTAAGGCCTAAATGCTAGCGATATAATCAACTATAATCATGTTAATTTTGTATGTCTACATTTATATAAATATTTAGTGCCAAACTGATTTCCTACAACACGTGTCTCAGGGCAGTGTCTATTACCTGCAGAGCTCTATTCGGTCTGGAAGGCGGAACAATCCAATCAACATGGTATTTGACAGGAAAGAATTCATACACCTTACAACATTCTCCTGACGACATTCGTCTGCTTCTGTTATAACAACTGCAAAACCAAATACGATTCAAGTGCTGAACTCACTGAGAGTTATGTGATGGACATGCAAGTGAAGCAATTGAACACACAGATGTGAAGCTTTTTAGTATCTAAATTTTTCTGAAATATATTTTGTGACTGCATTACATATGTCAAATCATGAGGATACAAGTTCGCTGATTTTTCTGTGTCGATACCAGCAAGATAAAACTCCTTGTCTTGGTTCTAGTAACATAAAGCATGCCAAACGGACATTCACTCTACAACATTCTATCTCATCAGTAATGATGTAGTATTTTCAAACAAACAATACATATATGCAATGTTGTTCCAAAAGTTTCCCCAAGATATATTTCAAATGTAAACAAGTTCAATAGCTTTGACAATTAAGGGTACATACATGCAACATATCCAAATGATTTTAAATACATCCATATCTTCAAGAAGATTCATCAGTTTGGAAATATGTTATATCAAAGTTTTACTTTGTACACAAATAATGTAAATATCAAACGTGTTGAACGTTACTAGACCGACTGGTCCCTTTGTCAAGCTATGCCTGAGTGACCCATACTTAACTGGCACAAAATACCCACAGTTACAATGTCCAGAAATTAGGACATCAGCTTCGATATTTGTTTCCTGAGGAAATCAACAGGAGGCATCGTATGACCAATGTTAATTTGCACATGGAACAGACCAGAGAATTGTCTATAACATTTCTACTTACCAGGGTTTGCTGCAGCACAGGTGTATGTGATACGAGCATATTTGTATGTGCCTTGACATGGATCTCCTGTCACAGAGCTACTAGCGGTCACAGTACAGCTGGTTTTATTATCACACATTTCTTTATATTTGTCGAGGGCTACCGGAGAGGAGCAAGATGTGTCTGTCAAGAGTCTGTTGGTGTCCGAACATGTGAGTCGCTCTTCTCTACCATAAAATGCATCCTGGATATCCACAACATGTCCCACAGGGCATTCCATAGTTTCAGTGTCATCCTCACAGATGACAAGTTCAGAACCTGGATAATACCAAAACATACGGCACACATAAAATACTTCTTAACTGTACATACTTTAAACGATAGCTTTGAATATTTGAAGCTTTGAAATTGAATGCACCATGCATACACTTCAGATGAATACATTTTCCATGGCAAAACCTTATTTTGTAACTTAAACTGCAGTCCTATTGTTTGTTGCCAAAGAAATATTAATTTTGATTGTGTGGACTGTATTTCTCCTCTAATCCCCTTGGGCCTTATAATTCTCATCCTTTAAGAAGTATGAGGACCTTGACTCTGGAGTTCAAAGTCATATACAATGTAGATCTTGTCTAATAAAATCTATTACCTGTAATGGATAGTTTTCCTTGCACCTTTTTGTTCAATTTCACTTCAGACTAAAAATGTCACGTCTGGGGCCTCAAATAAATAATTATTTGAATGCTTCCGTGTAAAACGTAAGTCCATTCTTACACAAAAGACAATGTCTTTCATAGTGTAGATCATATTTTATCTATATATGACGAAACAGAATATGTATAACGCAGATTGTCAATTTCGAGCTTTTAACATGCGGATGAATAAAAATTCAATGAAATGTCACTTAAATGTACCAGATATACTAGCTGATCGGTCGAGATAGAAAAATCTAGCATGTGGGATATATCTGTCTGGGATGCGAATAAAGTCAATCTTAAGTTTAACATGAAATCATTTAATGCAATAGAAATAAATTTTCATTTCTCACAACAAGTATCTTTAAAAAAAAACAAAAAAACAGCAGAGTTCAACGAATTTGGTGGTAACAAAGTTTAAAATGGTTTTGTATTGTATATTATATATTTTGTCCTTCATCTGTTTTCCCAGGTTCCTCCCAAGCATGCGCAGTTGTAAGATATTAAGGCTTGGTTTTGGCATAATTGGCTCAACCAAAAAAATGGGCCGCCAAATTTATGAAAATTTATTAAAATTATTTGTTTTCCTATTTTGATCAATATTTTTTTTAATTGATTTCTCTTTTAGAATTTTTTTTCTGCTATTCTTTGAATTTTATTTTTGAAATGAAATACCTTTTTGTAAAGGTGCAGCAAATATTATTACTACAGCATTCTAATAACAGATCCTCTACACAGGAAAAGTTATACGGTAATCATACCCCGACTGTAAGGTTTAGTGGAACTGAGATATGTCGTTCTTAACTTGTAGATTTTATAAGTTGACATCTCCTTGATCAATTTCACCAGGGAATCATCCAATTCCTATACTTTTCTTTTAAACCTAGGGAATCTGCGCTCACGTTTTTCGTACCTACATATAACCTGTTCTTGTACTTTTATTATACAGATGATTGTTGTAGGGTAATAGCACAATTTTGCATAATAGACATTATTCCATGTGTAACTTAAGAAGATTTATAATTTTCAAACTCGCTTCTAAACCAAAATCTCCTCATTTTTTTCGCAAATCTACATTTTATATAAAATATGTAATTTATATGAAATAAGGCAACCCTACCGGTGCAACCACCTAGTGCATCATAACATGGGGGTTTCCCAGGACAAATCGCAAGTTGATCTTAATCAGCTCTGCTGAAAAAAGTCACTTGGAAAATGTTTTTTCACCACCATAGGATCAGGGAAAAATAATGAAATTCCAAATGAGTTGGGGAAATTAGCACAAACAGCTAAATTATAATGTAGATTTGTGAAAAAGTTGCATCAAAAAATAAAGATCAATTAAATTGGATCAACAGTATTCTAACACTGAAGATATGATATTAAGTTTTGTTGGTGTTTTAAAAATTTATATGAATTAATCACTAGAACAATGTTTTTTTGTGTGTCTGTATTTAATTTTCCTACATGGCCAATGCTGCTTTCACACTGATATGATATTAACTTTTAAAATTTAGCAATCATCTAGGATTTTGAGCTACTTTAATGTCCTTTTTGATTTTTAAAAAGGTAAAAAAAGACAGAATCATCGACATGACAATGTTTTATAAGTGTTTGCTGCCAGTACAATTTAATATTGTAATGTCCACATAAAAAGCATGACTTACGGTTACAAGATGAGTCAAGGAATTCATTCCAAACTTGATGAGTCAATTTGAGGAGACCTGACGACAAAAACTTGGCAGGGATCTCTTCTAAAGTGTCATAGAAGTCTTGAAAGCATGTTGATATTCCTCGCACAGCAGGGCAGAAATCGCCGACACCCAAGTTATAGCTGTACAGGGAGACATTTACAGCCGTGTAGAAGTTCTGTATACAGAGGGTGAGTGGAACAAGTATGTCCTCTGCTGCCGGGAGGATAAGTGATATAGGGGGACAACCTGACAACAATGACAGGAAGTCGGCTTTAGCAGGATATCTTTGGATGGAGGTACAATCGATAATCTCATCTGATATAGCGGGCATTAGAGTATTTCCAGAGCTGAAATACAAACAATAATTTTGGTTCAATAGTTATTGTCATACAGTAAACCATTACTGCTATGTAAGACTGTCGTAACATAACCGCTTACAATTATCAATAATAATAATAATAATAATAATTTGTGGTTCTTATATACCGCTTTATCACAACCTAGTTCGTAGTTGGTCTCAAAGCAGTTCACAAATTATTATCCGAGGTTAATTATAGGGCCTTTGCAACCAGCCAATATCTTTCTCAACTCCCTGGGGAGCATACAACCGGAGCTGCCATTTTGGCGCTAACAGCTAGCATTCAACAATTCTAGTGCTGCCCAACCACAAACTCATTTACACCTTAGTAGACTGGAACAAGCGGAGTAAAGTATCTTGCTTAAAGATACAACACAGTGCCGTGCTGTGATTCGAAGCCGCAAGCCTTCGGTCACGAGCCCGGCGTCCTACCACTAGACTACCGTGCCTCCACAAGACAAATATGCCTTTCTTTTACATGAATGTAATTGGCAATGATTTACAATGTTGTTTTTTTCTTGAATGTAATGAAAGTAAAAGAAAATTTCAGCAAACAAAACTTACCACATAGATCCATATATCAAATATTTCTTACCATCATAATTCAGAACAAATTTTATATGCAAAGAGCTATGTATTTCCAATTGATTTGGTTTGCCGAGCTCTGTGTAAAAATACTGTTAGCTATTAATCTGCCAAATCTATTATACATTCCATCACAACAGGTGTATCAAAATACGTTTGTGGAGTCACTTACGGACACGAAGGTGCCTTTCTCAATTCATTAACAGCCACTTCAAAGGCATTTTTAATGGAGCATTTTCCAGGTAAAGTGCAGCGTTTAAGTGCCTCACAGCTGTCTACACTCTTAGATACTGCAGAAAGTTTTTGTGATATTGTTGTCTCCACGGATAGTCTAACACTGGGATTGCAGGTAGCAGTGTTGTCTTCTACACACACCTGTGCAGTGTGATGTTCTCTGTGGATGGAAAAAAACAATTAAACAATTAACAGTTAATGGGCATTAAAATGACCATAATAGATGGTCATAGTTTTCATGGTGTGTTAACGGATGATTTGTCAAGTAGTGTAAGTTAATGGGCTGAGTTTTGCTTTAAGTTAATGGGCTGTGTTTTGCTGTGTCTAACTAGCACATTTCACATGTTCTATAGATGACATTCTATAGATGACATATCTGTTTTTAGGCCAATCTATAATTGCTTAATCTACAACTGGATTTTAAATTATAACTTATATGGTTTCACAATTTGAAACAAGACACTTGTCTCAATGGATGGCAAAGCTTTTTATTTAAGTACAGTACTTTGGGAGGAGTAGTGTAAAAAAAACCATCTCTAAATCAAAAGACATAACGCCATGAATAGGTGAGGTAGCTATAATTTGGATATTTCTTTAACATCCTCTCAATCGAAGTGTTATGCCTATCATTCAATCAGGTCCAGTACTTGAGGAATTGCCGAATCAAAATATTAATCACAGATGCACAACTGTGTTGATTACTTCAGTGAAGTTTCATGAAATTCAGGTGGAGTTGAGTAGACAAGATTATGTCTACAGACAGATGGACGACTGGACAGACAGAAGGACACCCTGGTTCCTGTATACCCCCAGAGAGATGGACGACTGGACAGACAGAAGGACACCCCGGTTCCTGTATACCCCCAGACAGATGGACGACTGGACAGACAGAAGGACACCCCGGTTCCTGTATGCCCCCAGACAGATGGACGAATGGACAGACAGAAGGACACCCTGGTTCCTGTATACCCCCAGACAGATGGATGAATGGACAGACAGAAGGACACCCCGGTTCCTGTATATCCCCAGACAGATGGACGACTGGACAGACAGATGGATACCCTGGTTCCTGTATACCCCCAGACAGATGGACGAATGGACAGACAGAAGGACACCCCGGTTCCTGTATATCCCCAGACAGTTGGACGAATGGGCAGACAGAAGGACACCCGGGTTCCTGTATACCCCCAGACAGATGGACGACTGGACAGACAGATGGATACCCTGGTTCCTGTATACGCCCAGACAGATGGACGAATGGACAGACAGAAGGACGCCCCGGTTCCTGTATACCCCCAGACAGATGCACGAATGGACAGACAGAAGGACACCCTGGTTCATGTATACCCCCAGACAGATGGACGAATGGTCAGACAGAAGGACACCCCGGTTCCTGTATTCCCCCAGACAGATGGACGAATGGACAGACAGAAGGACACCTCGGTTCCTGTATATCCCCAGACAGATGGACGACTGGACAGACAGAAGGACACCCTGGTTCCTGTATACCCCCAGGCAGTTGGACGAATGGACAGACAGAAGGACCCCCTGGTTCCTGTATACCCCCAGACAGATGGACGACTGGACAGACAGATGGATACCCTGGTTCCTGTATACGCCCAGACAGATGGACGAATGGACAGACAGAAGGACACCCCGGTTCCTGTAAACCCCCCCTAACTTCATTATGGGGGGCATAAAAACAATAAGTTTAACTGTTTCCTACTGGGTGATATATCATGTTTCATTTTTTGAATATGGGCCACTTACTACATGTAACTTTTCTGTGGTCGTTGCTGTACATATACTGTATAGCTGGTGTGTATTGTGTTTGATCAAAACTGATTCATCAGTCAATTCTATAGAAAGATTTCTAATGAAACAGCATAAGGTCAAACCAAATGAGTGTGTGATATGCATTTTAGTTTCAAAACAGTTCTACACCAACTTACTCGCATAGTTGTTCTTGGGTATTAAAAAATGTGTAGCCATCGAGGAAGTCTTTGAACGACTGTACACAGGTGTCAACTTTGTCCGTATCACAGGTTCCTTTGAGGTTGGCGGAGTTGGCTAACACACACAGACTCTCACTCAGTTGTGTTGAGCAGTCATCTCCCACAATGCCTCTGACAATATGGAGAGTCTGACTAACAGAGACAACAGCATCTCGTGAGCAGTTCCCTGTCATGACTTTGTGGAGGCATGTCAGAGATTCATCCAACGTTCTAAACAAAACAAAAACAACAAAAAACAAAATTAATGAAAGTACAGACAGTTTTTCATTCTGTATGACATAAGTCAAACAGAAGAAGATGAATTAAAATCTCTACTTGGAAACATCAGGCTTGAGTCACATTTTGTTTTGTTCTAACAATATTTAGGGTATATGATATCGAAAAGTATATATAAAGTAAACTGATCGGTAAACAGACAGGAGTCAAGCTTATAGACAAGGAAGTCAAACTCCGATATAAAACACAGGAGATATACTCACGGACATATTTCTCCTTCCAGCACTTTGTTAGACAACTTGTTGATAAGTGGATTAAGACACTTTTCTACTGTAGCCACATCACATGTATCATCGTTAACTGGAGGGTTCCATTCTAGACACATGGGGCTGGATACACTTTTCATCCAGGCAGTCATTTTATACATGTTGTTGGTGTTGGAGAGTGGACAGTTCACCAGAGAGGTGGACAAACAGTCCTCGACCATATCTAGATCACTGGAAAAAAACATCAGCTTAGCAAAGGAGATCTCAAACATGAGGTCAAAAGGGTCTGAATTGCTCGACTAGTCTGTTTTACCTAATATATAATCATTTTTATTGAAATAAACACATTTGAAACTTATTCAAAATTTAATGAAAGTCACTGCTATTCCGTTTTTGCAACTTAAAGCTCTTTACATTGCAAGCTAAAAGCCAAAAGTTGTTCGATCCAGTTAACACATCTGAGTGTTCTGTTACCTTGTATACGGAAAAACAAAATAATCAGTTTTGCCGCGACAGGCCTTTACCTCAGTATAGAGTAAACAAGCATGGCCTATTAGCTCTTGAGAACGTTTCAAATGTTTTTGTGACCTTATATGTCGGGGAAGTTTATGTATTGAACAATCTTATACCTTTATCTCAGCCAAAAGGATGTCAAATGTCATTACTTTTGGCATTGTTACCTGTGCAAGATGGTGTTTCAAAATGAACGATTGGAAAATTAAGTTTACCTGTACAAGGTGTTTTAGAGTGAATAATTGTAAAAAAAAAAGTTTACCTGTACAAGGTGTTTTAGAGTGAATAATTGGAAAATTGAGTTTACCAGCTGTACAAGGTGTTTCAGAATGAATCATTGGAAAATTGAGTTGACCTGTACAAGGTGTTTCAGAATGAATCATTGGAAAATTGAGTTTACCTGTACAAGGTGTTTCAGAGTGAATCATTGGAGAATTGAGTTTACCTGTAGAAGATGTTTCAGAATGAATCATTGGAAAATTGAGTTTACCTGTACAAGGTGTTTCAGAATGAATCATTGGAGAATTGAGCTTACCTGTACAAGGTGTTTCAGAGTGAATCATTGGAGAATTGAGCTTACCTGTACAAGGTGTTTCAGAATGAATCATTGGAAATTGAGTTTACCTGTACAAGGTGTTTCAGAGTGAATAATTGGAAAATTGAGTTTACCAGCTGTACAAGGTGTTTCAGAATGAATCATTGGAAAATTGAGCTTACCTGTACAAGGTGTTTCAGAGTGAATCATTGGAGAATTGAGCTTACCTGTACAAGGTGTTTCAGAATGAATCATTGGAAATTGCGTTTACCTGTACAAGGTGTTTCAGAGTGAATCATTGGAGAATTGAGCTTACCTGTACAAGGTGTTTCAGAATGAAACATTGGAAATTGAGTTTACCTGTACAAGGTGTTTCAGAGTGAATCATTGGAGGATTGAGCTTACCTGTACAAGGTGTTTCAGAGTGAATCATTGGAAATTGAGTTTACCTGTACGAGGTGTTTCAGAATGAATCATTGGAAAATTGAGCTTACCTGTACAAGGTGTTTCAGAATGAAACATTGGAAATTGAGTTTACCTGTACAAGGTGTTTCAGAATGAATCATTGGAAATTTAGCTTACCTGTACAAGATGTTTCAGACTGAATCATTGGAAAATTGAGTTTACCTGTACAAGGTGTTTCAGAGTGAATCATTGGAAATTGAGTTTACCTGTACAAGGTGTTTCAGAGTGAATCATTGGAGAATTAAGCTTACCTGTACAAGATGTTTCAGAATGAATCATTGGAAAATTGAGTTTACCTGTACAAGGTGTTTCAGAGTGAATCATTGGAAATTGAGTTTACCTGTACAAGGTGTTTCAGAGTGAATCATTGGAGAATTGAGCTTACCTGTACAAGGTGTTTCAGAGTGAATCATTGGAAATTGAGTTTACCTGTACAAGGTGTTTCAGAGTGAATCATTGAAGAATTGAGTTTACCTGTACAAGGTGTTTCAGAGTGAGTCATTGGAAATTGAGTTTACCTGTACAAGGTGTTTCAGAGGTGAATCATTGGAGAATTGAGTTTACCTGTACAAGGTGTTTCAGAGTGAATTATTGTAAAAAAATAAGTTTACCTGTACAAGGTGTTTTAGAATGAATCATTGGAAAATTGAGTTGACCTGTACAAGGTGTTTCAGAATGAACCATTTGAAAATTGAGTTTACCTGTACAAGGTGTTTCAGAGTGAATAATTGGAGAATTGAGTTTACCTGTACAAGATGTTTCAGAATGAATCATTGGAAAATTGAGTTTACCTGTACAAGGTGTTTCAGAATGAATCATTGGAGAATTGAGCTTACCTGTACAAGGTGTTTCAGAGTGAATCATTGGAGAATTGAGCTTACCTGTACAAGATGTTTCAGAATGAATCATTGGAAAATTGAGTTTACCTGTACAAGGTGTTTCAGAGTGAATCATTGGAAAATTGAGTTTAACTGTACAAGGTGTTTCAGAGTGAATCATTGGAGAATTAAGTTTAACTGTACAAGGTGTTTCAGAATGAATCATTGGAAAATTAAGCTTACCTGTACAAGGTGTTTCAGAGTGAATCATTGGAGAATTGAACTTACCTGAACAAGGTGTTTCAGAGTGAATCATTGGAGAATTGAGTTTACCTGTACAATGTGTTTCAGAGTGAATCATTGGAGAATTGAGCTTACCTGTACAAGGTGTTTCAGAGTGAATCATTGGAGAATTGAGCTTACCTGTACAAGGTGTTTCAGAGTGAATCATTGGAGAATTGAGCTTACCTGTACAAGGTGTTTCAGAGTGAATCATTGGAGAATTGAGCTTACCTGTACAAGGTGTTTCAGAGTGAATCATTGGAGAATTGAGCTTACCTGTACAAGGTGTTTCAGAGTGAATCATTGGAGAATTGAGCTTACCTGTACAAGGTGTTTCAGAGTGAATCATTGGAGAATTGAGCTTACCTGTACAAGGTGTTTCAGAGTGAATCATTGGAGAATTGAGCTTACCTGTACAAGGTGTTTCAGAGTGAATCATTGGAGAATTGAGCTTACCTGTACAAGGTGTTTCAGAGTGAATCATTGGAGAATTGAGCTTACCTGTACAAGGTGTTTCAGAGTGAATCATTGGAGAATTGAGTTTACCTGTACAAGGTGTTTCAGAGTGAATCATTGGAAAATTGAGCTTACCTGTACAAGGTGTTTCAGAGTGAATCATTGGAGAATTGAGCTTACCTGTACAAGGTGTTTCAGAGTGAATCATTGGAGAATTGAGTTTACCTGTACAAGGTGTTTCAGAGTGAATCATTGGAGAATTGAGTTTACCTGTACAAGGTGTTTCAGAGTGAATCATTGGAAAATTGAGCTTACCTGTACAAGGTGTTTCAGAGTGAATCATTGGAGAATTGAGCTTACCTATACAAGTTGTTTCAGAGTGAATCATTGGAGAATTGAGCTTACCTGTACAAGAACTGTCAGAATGAAGCACCATAACATAAGGTGTGTCGGAACTGTAGAGGTGTAATGGTGCTAATGACTTCGCTATATAAGGTGCGACGGTACTGTAGAGGTGTAATGGTGCTAATGACTTACCCACATAAGGTGTGACGGTACTGTAGAGGTGTGATGGTGCTAATGACTTACCTACATAAGGTGTGTCGGTACAGTAGAGGTGTAATGGTGCTAATGACTTACCTACATAAGGTGTGTCGCTACTGTAGCGGAGAAATGGTGCTAATGACTTACCTGCATAAGGTGTGTCGGTACTGAAGAGGTGTAATGGTGCTAATGACTTACCCACATAAGGTGTGACGGTACTGTAGATGTGTGATGGTGCTAATGACTTACCTACATAAGGGGTGTCGGTACTGTAGAGGTGTGATGATGCTAATGACTTACCTACATAAGGGGTGTTGGTACTCTTGAGGTGTAATGGTGCTAATTACTTACCTACATAAGGTGTGTTGGTACTCTAGAGGTGTAATGGTGCTAATGACTTACCTACATAAGGTGTGTTGGTACTCTTGAGGTGTAATGGTGCTAATTATTTACCTACATAAGGTGTGTCGGTACTGTAGAGGTGTAATGGTGCTAATGACTTACCTACATAAGGTGTGACGGTACTGTAGAGGTGTAATGGTGCTAATGACTTACCTACATACGGTGTGACGATACTGTAGAGGTGTAATGGTGCTAATGACTTACCTACATAAGGTGTGTCGGTACTGTAGAGGTGTGAAGGGTGAGACTAGAAGACGTACAAGAGGGCCGCTCACACAGGTTGCCGCCTCGTGTAATACACAACTTGGGGGCTCTGTAAGGGAGTTCCATTATAGGTGATATGAGTTATAGTGAAATATGGTTATTGAACAAGTTAATTTTTTTACCCAATTTGTTTAGAAGCAAACTCATAGATTCTCTAGGTTACCAAAAGATTGTTTATGTTGCAAATTTTTCTTTTCCCAATTCCATTAATAAATGTTTGTTTTTTTCATTCAGAATTTTTCTGATACAATGAGAATCTCAATCAGTCTCAATAAGTGTCCTTGTCACTATTTATTGTAAAAAGCCTGTATTTGACTCAACAGTACCATTTACACTGTATTATAATATGCCTGGATAAGGCTCCATATTTATGATGCTGTTATCGCTATTAAATACTGAAATGAGTAACTTTACTTGTTCTACATATCTATATTTACCCCAGAAACAACCTCAGCTATCATGTATAAGATCACAAAATGTATACTAAGAATATAACATACACATAATATCATACCATCAAATGATACATTTATACTCAAGGTAAAATATACTTTAACGCTATACAATATTCACTAGTATTGTAGCGGCTACTTCATGTAGCAGGTCCTTACCAGGGGGGCAGGGGATGGTTTGTACAAGGTCTCCCAAAATGGCATCAAGAACGTTAAAATCATCCACCGTGAAGATATATGCGGGATCTGAGGCGACTTCAGAAAGCTGGGACTGAACAACGTCATTTCCTATTCCTACTACTAGTACACTGATATTGGCCTGTCTGATACCCTCTACAGTACTCTCGTACCCAGAATAAAATTCTCCATCTGTCAACTGAAAAATAAAATATATACAAAATGTTAAATATTAATATCAACAACATAGAAAGTAATATCAATATGAACTAATATTTCATTATCATGAACATATCTTATATCAATGTGAACAAATCCTATGAACATATCTTATATCAATGTGAACTAATCCAATGAACATATCTTATATCAATGTGAACTAATCCTATGAACATATCTTATATCAATGTGAACAAATCCCATGAACATATCTTATATCAATGTGAACAAATCCTATGAACATATCTTATATCAATCTGAACAAATCCAATGAACATATCTTATATAAATCTGAACAAATTCTATGAACAATTTTTGTATCAATCTGAACAAATCCTATGAACATATCTTAAATCAATCTGAACAAATCCTATGAACAATCCTGTATCAATGTGAACAAATCGTATGAACATATCTTTTATCAATGTGAACAAATCCTATGAACATATCTTATATCAATGTGAACAAATCCTATGAACAATTTTTGTATCAATCTGAACAAATCCTATGAACATATCTTAAATCAATCTGAACAAATCCTATGAACATATCTTATATCAATGTGAACAAATCCTATGAACACATTTTATATCAATGTGAACAAATCCTATGAACACATCTTATATCAATGTGAACAAATCCCATATTATATCCTATATTAAGACTTGGAAACAAGAAATTGATAATTCTATTCTTTCTATGGTTCTAGTTTATTTTTTTTACATGAAATTGAATTAAATATGGTAGATGTTGCAGCATTTGTTCACCTTTCATTCATCATTTCAAAAAGTAAATGAAAATTTTGCATACAGATTATACCATTTAATTTTTTTCAGAAATCTTTTTTTTTTAAAGATTTTAAATATTAATTCGTTTTTAAAAATCCTTCAATTTGAAAGAATTCCTTTGAAGTTGAATTTGATTACAAGAATTCCATGGTATTATATCTCATTATGTCCTGCTTCGACCATTAACAGCAATTTGAAAATCATAGCAAAATACAAAATTTCACATTCAGAGAAAATGTTTATTTAATTGTCAGAGGCGGAACAAAACTAAATTTCCATGTTTTTTTATCAGTGAACTTTAACTTCTAATAGAACACGGTTCTTATGTAAAGGTATCACTGAGTGAGAAACATAACAAAGAAAAAAATAAGGGCTGGCATACAGTATATTGATTTAAACAAAAGGCCTAGAGAGTATGTATTGCTCACCTGGATAATAAGCAGGTGAGCTAAAAATGTGGACTTTTATTCTCTGCTCTGATTGACTTACCAGTAAGATGACATCTGGTACATCCGGTCGGTTACCACTATCATCAAATATTTGTGACTGCACGAGTTCCAAACCTGCAGTTACATTTGTGCCGGACTTGTCACCATACTGATTAGCCAGCTGTGTTACAAAATCAGTCATCGCACTCTGGTCGTAATACCGATCCAAAGAAAAGCCAAAATGTCCTTGACTGGAGAAGGTTGCGACACCTAGGTGGATGGAATCCTCTCCTATATTGAGTTGTTCGATGATGTCATTGACGAAACGAGCCATGATGAAGAAATTGTCTTGGCCAATACTGCTGGACTCATCTAACAGCAAAACAATGTCTGCTTCACTGTAACCACAGACTGAAATAGCAATTAAAATCACACAGATAGGAGTCTTTACTAAAAAAATTATATACAGATCTAAATATTCAAATTTTTATTATAAAAATCATTGATTTAAAAAAAGGGCCTATGTTAAACAAATTATTACCATTTTTAATTGTATACCTTGATTTTGAAATATTTGTCATACCTGCTTGCTCAGTAACAATATTTGGAAGTTGAGTTGTTATGGTGACATCAGGAAGAGCCCCTGCATTACAGAAGTCAGCCCCACAGCAGTAGGAACAGTTGCTAGATGTTTGACAGGCTGTCACACACTTGTCTATCGACACACAACCTTTAGTGTACATCACAGAACCATCCTCCAATGTCCGCGACATCGACCCACATCTCTGGAAATATTACAAATTATCTTATACAATGAGACTATAATCAAATGTCTGCTACAATTATCAGATTCTGAGTAGAGTACAATTTTCTATTTGCAATTAATAATAATAGCAATTTCAAAGGTGAACTTGTCTTGCTCTGTTAAAGAATTTACCAATTAATTACCATCATGTAACTGTGCTCTGAAGACGGCCTCCCTTTGGCGGAAACATATGTCAGCACTTAAGATGTAAATCAAACATTACATTTTGTACCGGATTCAGTGGTGTTGTTGCTCATCATTTCTATTTTCATTTTCAATAGTCACCATGTAAGGGTTAAGTGATGAAATGGTAGTAAAACGACATCAGATCTATTTCATAGCATTTGTTATGGTTAAGTAAATGGTAATATAAGATGGGATTTTTTAAATATAAGTAAATAACTGTTTCCTCTTTCTCTGATATTTTCCCATTAAACACCATGAAAATTTCAGTCTCATTGAAAAATAATTGAAAATGTCTTAGAAGCAGGATCAATTATCATAATATTCCTTCATAACATATGAACAAACAATTCATCATATCAAAGAAGAAAATCTGGCTTCTAAACTCTGAACTTCAGTGCTGACCTCAGTGAGAGGGTCACAGATAGTAAGCTTGGTACTGGATTGACAATCAGCCTCTCCTCTCCTATCACAGCTGTGGCAGTACAGGGGCCTGTCCATATTATCTGGAACCATAATATGGTCAAAGGTGAGCATTTTTAAAAAAAAAAAAAAATTATATAAATTATGAAACTTATATAAATCACTGCAGAACCAGACTTATTTTGGGAAGAAACCAGAGTACCCAAATAAACTCTAAGGTGATTACTAATGATAATGTAATGTTACTGTAGGTCACTTAATTTCTGTGAAAAGTTATCTTCACGAATGTTCTACAAATGTGTCAATTTTGTGGGATACCACAAATACCGCAAAAATTGCAAAAATTACCAATCTGAAAAAAAACCTTTACATTAAAAGAGGAACCCAAAATAAACAACATTTGCGAAAGATTATATTTAATATTGCGTTCTTTGATCTACGGCCAACAACAAAACTAATATACAGATTTAAATAAATGATCCCTATGTAAATTATCATAAACAAATACAAACCTGGGGAACAAATGTGTTTCATGAATGATGTTGACATCTTGGCCATGAACTTGGTGTAGATCTTAGCAAGGGGAGGTAATTTCTCATCATACAGACAAGCCTGAAGGTGTGTCACTGCCTCACATAGCATGGTGGTGGCATTAGAACCAATCACCTTCATCGAGCGATGTATCATGTGACCAAATCCGACCACACAATCAGCAAGGTCATGGTAAATGTCGCTGTACGGGTCGTCATCAATGGCCATGTCTATGTCACAAACATTCTCCAAGGCAAAGCTTAGTTCCCCGATCACAAAGTCAACTGGTGCTTTTTGTACCGACAAGCAGGACAGAGTGTGTTCTTTAACACATTCAAATGTCATATTTCTGCTCCTGTCAGTAACAAAATGGTAAACAAAGATTAATTGATCGTTGTTATTTGATTGAAACAATATTTTCATAGTAATTTTATTTTTTACTTGGAAGGCTAAGAAAGAAAATTTTATTTTATATGGCTAGAACATGAGAAAAAATCTTGTAAGTCTACAGAAAGAAATGTGACCTATGGGAAAAGGGGATGGCCTTATTAGTCTATGGAAAGATGTGTGATTTTTTAAATCTATGGAAAGAGTCGTGACCTTGTAAGTCTATGGAAAGAGCCGTGACCTTATATGTCTATGGAAAGGTGTGATCTTGTGAGACTAGGGAAAGGTGTGATCTTGTGAGACTAGGGAAAGGTGTGATCTTGTGAGACTAGGAATGGAGGATTACTTACTCGCACATTTTGGTTGTGGAAGACATATTCCTTAAACTTGTAAGGCACTGCATAGCTTGGTCAATGTCACACTTATCAGTCGTTCCCATGGTGATACGTTGGCAATGACCTCTGATCCAGGAGGTTGCATGCATCACATGATCCCACACCTCAGTGTACTTGTCCCCAGAGCAGCTCTTCACTTTCTCCTCAACACATCCCATCCACATGTCCTTCAAGCTGTTGTTAGGCAAGACATAACAGTATCAGACATCTTTTTATTTCACATTTTAATTTTTTAAATTGTATTCAACAAGAGTACTACATGTATAAACAAAATGTTATGTCATTCAAGATTTGAAACTCAGACACAAGTTTGAATTTTTAACACAGTTGAAATAAGTGTATGTTACATGTATATTCCCCTAGGTAAAGAATAACACTTTAAAATGGCATCTTTTGAGTTCTTCTTGCTGATGAAATCATTAGGTCTTAGAATAAAGGATAGTTTGATAAATTTCCTGCCTGAAAATGTTCGATTTCAGGGTCCAAATTAGGGAGCATTGCCAAGTATGTGTATGTTCAGAAATGGATTTCTTGAGCTAAAAAATTGCTAACAAACGGATGAATGGACAACACCATAGGTCCCTGAAGATAGATGTTTAAAAAAATGTATAAATTCAGTGAAAGCCATCTTTGATCATGAATACAAATATCATATGACATTTGATTAGTAAGATGTACCTGCAGACACGTTCAAATCCATACATCATCGCCATTATGAATTCTTTTCTTGCCCTATCACTATCAACACAATCAATGGCAGCCTTTTTATCGCAGATTGTCTCCCCTGAGCCAGGATCTTCACGACTGGTACCCTCGCCTGAGCTAGGAGCTTCACGACTGGAGGTACCAGATTCAGCGCTTGATGTGTTATCTTTGGTGTCATTCATTCCAGGATCCAGCTTGCAGGTGTCTCCGATAACAGACCAGGCAAGATGTAGAGACAGGAAGGAGGCTCGGAAGTCAGCAGGGGAGCAGGTTTGTTCGATAGTAGCCAAGGAAGTACCCTCTATAGTATCCTCCAGATGTCTAAAGAAACAGACAATGCATTAATAGAAATACTCAAATGTTGAATTATGCTTTAACTTGAAATATGTGTATAGAAACAATTACAAGCTTAAATATTCAGGGGACATGTGGGCAATTGGATACCTGATTGAAAAACGTAAAGGATGTATTAAAATGTTAAAATGTTATTAATATAGGGGATGGGTGCGTGGCCATGTGTGTTGGTCAGTGTGTGTATAGACCACCACTACCTCCCCCCTTCCTTTGCCCCCAGGGGATGGGAGGGGGAGGAGATGCTATCACTGACCTTGGCACTTTGCACACGGTGCTACATGAGTCAGCTGGAGAGTGGTCAAGGACCAATCAATGTGGTGGTCAGCACTACACTGACCAATCAAGTTGCTCATGTAGCAGGCGGGAATGGGGCTCAGCGTCCCTCCCTGGACAAAGGGATCACTTTGTAGCGGCGAGGCGTATCAAGCAGGCGTGTTTGGCGAGCTAGCTATATTCTGTCATAGAGTGAAGAATAATTTTGGCCCACCCACCCATCCCCCCTTTATTTTGTGTGATGTACATGTGTAGTATATAGATAACAGTAGAGTAGTAGATCCAGTTATTACACATGGCGGTGATGTGAGGGGATTCAGAAGAATGCTATTAATTGATTACGTAACATTACATAATTATTATGTAATTGCGGTTTCTATACATGATTACGTAATATTAATAAACTGGATCTACTGTCCCAAACCTGGTCATTGTATTGATATTTCAGACCTGTGATTAATCTAAGCTGTTTTTGAGATTCACTTGAAACTCCAGATAAAATTTTGGCTCTTATGGCCAGATACATTAAGTGTGGACTTCCAGGTGCTCTAGGTATTTGAAACATTCCTATTAAACTCTATATCAAATATTTTACCCATTCTATATAACAATATATCTGCTACAATTAAGGTAAAACAGGCAATCCTTAGATTCACGGTATCACACTATACCAGATTCAAGTGATTTAATTTAACACTGTACTGATATAAATTACCAAATACATTGAAACAGTAAAACCTGCTAGTCTTACATGTACCGACACACACTTTGATCTGTACGGAATTTAATCTGTATCGAGATGTCTAACTTACTCACACACACTTTGATCTGTACAGAAGTTATTCTGTATGGAGATGTCTTACTTACTGACACACACTTTGATCGGTACGAAAGTTATTCTGTATGGTGATGTCTAACTTACCGACACACACTTTGATCTTCACTGAAGTTATTCTGTATGGTGATGTCTAACTTACCGACACACATTTTGATCTGTACGGAGGTTATTCTGTATGGTGATGTCTAACTAACCAACACACACTTTGATCTTCACTGAAGTTATTCTGTATGGAGATGTCTTACTTACCGACACACACTTTGATCTGTACGGAGGTTATTCTGTATGGAGATGTCTAACTTACCAACACACACTTTGACCTGTACGGAGGTTATTCTGTATGGTGATGTCTAACTTACCGACACACACTTTGATCTGTACGGAGGATATTCTGTATGGAGATGTCTAACTTACCGGCACACACTTTGATCTGTACGGAGGATATTCTGTATGGTGATGTCTAACTAACCGACACACACTTTGATCTGTACGGAGGATATTCTGTATGGAGATGTCTAACTTACCGGCACACACTTTGATCTGTACGGAGGATATTCTGTATGGTGATGTCTAACTAACCAACACACACTGTGATCTTCACTGAAGTTATTCTGTATGGAGATGTCTTACTTCCCGACACACACTTTGATCTGTACGGAGGTTATTCTGTATGGTGATGCCGAGGGCGAGACTTCCACATAGTCCACAATGACAGTGAAGCTGACGGAGGCGACATTTTGTCAGCAGGGAACTGGACTCCAGGTGAGATACCTGTTCTTTGATAGCTAGATACTGACTGGAAACACACGTCAATGTGTTCTTCTTAACACACTCCAGACTAGTCTGTATCTCACTGTAGATAAACAAGCAGTTACCAGAGTGAAAATTTCTAAACTGAACAACACTACAGAAATATATTCAACTTCATTAATACTGCCGAAAGAATATTGAAAGAGGTACTGTCTTTCATACAAATTAGATATGTGAACATCTCTGTTGGATTTTTTTTTTAATGTATCTTATAAGTTTGTAAATCTTGTTATCTTTGAAACACCTGCCAATTGATTACAATATTTACCTGTTCACCACATGTAACTTAATTAGAAATACTAACCTGTTGAACATCTGTATAATGATGTCAATAATTACCTGCAGGCCAATTTTTTAGTGTGCGCCACAGCCTTCACCAATGTGAATACACACTTCACAGCGGACACACCAACACAGGTCCGAGGTTCTGTATACAAAAATTGTATTGATCTAAAGCATTTACTACTAAAATTATTATTTTTTCATTCTGAAAACACTCTTTCTTTAATGTGTGCTTATGTACATGTATGTACACATACTGCTTACAGGATTGATATATGTATGTTGATCAACCTTTGAAGTTATGAAAAACCTCCTTCATGTTACAATAATTGTAACGCAAATCATATACAGATATCTAAACACAGTAGGATTGGTAGAGATACAAATAGTAATGCCTGAATGTTTGTCTACACTTTTTTTCAATTTAATCATATGCATCAGTGCATATTGAAACATTTTGAAAGTTAAAATAAGTATAAGCAAAACAAGCCAATCAGAAGTTTTTACTGGTTATCACTCAGAAAACCGATTGCAGCCAATCAGAAGTAATCACTCAGAAAACCCTATGGGCACTCACTGGAGCCAATCAGAAGTTATCATTCAGAAAACCCTATGGGCACTGACTGTAGCCAATCAGAAGTTATCACTCAGAAAACCCTATGGGCACTGACTGTAGCCAATCAAAAGTTATCATTCAGAAAACCCTATGTGCACTGACTGCAGACCATCAGAAGTTATCACTCAGAAAACCCTATGGGCACTGACTGCAGCCAATCAGAAGTTAATTATCACTCTTTGTCATTTTTGACAATGGGTAAGTCCTCTCTTGTTTCAATATCAAGGGCATTTGAGTCTGTTCATTTATTTTCATCAAGTGTTTCATCCCTATATTTATATCGCCAGGTATGTATGCTGCCAAAACAATGCCACCCTTCTTACCTAAACAACAGCCTAATAACTTTAATATTAAGTAGTTATGTAGATTGGAATAACCTATCATTTATATACATTATCATGCTCATGTTATTGACAGTATCGTCTGATATAGAGGAAAACCCTGGTCCCTTAGGAAATCTAGATATTGTCCATCTGAATTCTCGATCTATACGTACTAAAACTGACTTAATTGAAGCTGAACTAAATAACAATGACATAATCTGTATCACTGAATCGCATCTTAAACCTGAAATCCCAAACAGTGATATTATTATTGATTCTCATTCGATAAATCTTCATAGAAAAGACAGACTTAATAGACAGGGAGGTGGTGTACTGGTTTATTATAAAGATTCTGTACTAACCAAAAGGAGACATGATCTTGAAATAGATGATATTGAGCTACTATGGTTGGAAGTAACTATCAATAAACATACATTTTTATTAGGCTGTCTATACAGGCCTCCTGATTCAAATGTTGAATTTTGGACGAAACTTGATGGCATACTTGAAAAAGCATCAGACCTTTCTCTAGATATTTTATTAGTAGGGGACATTAATGTTAATCTTCTTTCTCTTCAACCAACTTCCCACCTATCAAGACTTCTTTCTAAATTTAACTTATACAATCTAATAAATGAACCCACACGTATTACACCAGAAAGCTCTAGTTGCATTGACTTTGTATTTACAAACAATAGAAATATTATAAGAGGTACACATGTAGGCGATCCATTTTGTAGTGATCATTCCCCAGTACATATTAGTATATCATATTGTGTATTTAAGCAAAACTCTTATATAAAGAAAATCTGGCAATATGACGCTGCTGATTTTAATCAAATGAATGAATGTCTACTAAATATGGATTGGCAACAACTAGCTA